AATCCACTTATAGCTACCTTGTTAACTTTGTTTTTACCACATAGCATGCTTCAGTGTCCGATTAAATCATTAACATACAGATGCTTTGATATAACTATAAGTAGAGTACAAATAAGTTTTGCACTTTTGCATTATACTTTCAAAATTTTCGTTTTAAAACTCTTTACCACAATCTGTTTGTAAATTACTTTGAATTTTTCCCTCTGTTAATATCGACTTAATAGCTACAGTCACATCTTGACTAGTTTCACCCCTACAGGCACAGCTTGTGCAAAATTTTGAAATACATCAATGACTGTAAGCACATATTTATACCCTTCATTTTCTTGAGCGAAAGGTTTAATATCTACAAGATCAGCTTGCCATGTTTCATCCAAGCCACGGACAACAAACTTGCAACAGAGATAGTTCGATCTGGCAGGTTGATGACGTTCTTTAATTACTTTCTCCACCTCTCCTAAATGTCTTCTCAAGTTGTATTAGGTATATGCGCCAGAGTCTTGTTAACTGTGTGTATTTTACGCTGTAAATTTAGTACTGTGTCTGAGAATACATCGCTCAAATTGCTCAATAGGAGACTTATTTTCTTTTGTTTATCTAAAATGGAACTTTTTTCCCTCTGTAAAGTAGTGACCTTTACAGCAATGTAAGGTTTAACAGCTTATGCATCATTACACAATCTTTTATTTTATGATTTAAATTAACGATCTGTGGCGAGCTTCTACCGGATTCATTGTGGACCTCAACTACCACTTTTTGACTTAGCTGATCTACTTCCAAATACGTCGATGTTTATTTTGGTACTGAAGTCAAATTAACTACCAAGCTTAATATATAATATTAGCTTCACGAAGCTCTTAAACGATTAAATTTATCTTATTTATATGACTAAGATTACCAGCTGACTTATCTGCCACTAGGAAGCTAAGTTGATTGACTAGTTTATTAGAGTCATCCTTATAAACGTAGTCCTATGTGTTAAGGTTAGCAATTTTAAACAAAAGTATGAAGCCTTCATTTTTCTTTACTTGTGTAAGATTAAGTAAAGACGTAATAACATTATTAACTTTGTTACTATTGTATGGATGAATCGTCTTATTTTTGTCAAATTTTCTTTTATGGACACTCAAAGTTTCCAAGATTTGTTTGTATTGATCTCAATTATCTGGTGTCATGAAATTTTTATTAGGATGTTTGTTAAAAAGTCACTCTTCTAATTTGTCGTTCATTAGGTATCTTAGATCTCTTGCGTAAATTTCACTTTTTTTAAATACATGGGTGATTCACCAAGTTAATATTGTCCGTTTTTTTCTTTGCTCATCTTATAAATTTAATATTATTCTAGATTATTTCTATCAAGTATTTGTAAGACACTTATTGATACATGCACTAAGTCATCATCATCACTTTTTTCAACAGTGGTATCATTGTCATTGATAGTGTCATCTGACGAAGAAGAACCTTCGTTACTATTACTATTACTATTTGCTAATTGGAATATTGATGTGTCGATATTTTGAATTTTTAGCTCTGAAAGGCTCATACACTGATGACTTTTTTGCTTCTTATTTGGGCATACAATGTACCAGAGCCATTTTTTTTTTTCGAGAGCAGGCGCATTGAATGATGTGTAAAAGTAAATCACGTATACATTTTAATTTTTTTAACGCTTGCTTACTTATTTTTTTTAAACAGTACCTTGCCAATGAATACGGCTATTATTTCTTATCTTCATGCATGCTGTAGCCATGACTACAAATCCACTGCTTCTTACTTGGTCTTATGATGCCCCAGCGTAATATTTTTTCCGAGCAAGAGTGGACGTATTGAGTGATATAAGTTGCCAGAGAGAACATGTATACTATTTTACTACTCAAAGTAAATCGCGTATTCCTTTTTATTCTTAAACGCTTGCTTACTCATTCTTTTGACGTAGTATGCTGCCATTAAATACAGCTATCATTTCTTACCTTCATGCATACTTCAGTTGTAACCAACCGTTTATCGCTTCTCATTTTGTCCAATTATGTACCAGCGTTTTACTTTTCCTTAGCAAGAGCAGACGTACGAGTTGCAAGAGAAAACATGTATACGATTTCGTAACCAAAAGCGTATCCCAACATTGCCTGGCTTACACCTTGTCACTGCAGTACCTTGCTAACGAAAATAGTTAGTTAATACAATAAAGGAACTTAAGTCGGTGCAGTGATAACGAGGTGTGAACTACAAAAATTAACCTAAATTCGTAAAAAACTAATTTATTGCATCAATATTGTGCATCAGATGTTCATTGAGTAAATAGCATTGTTTTGCTATTGCTGCTCTTTTACAACCAATTTTTTAAAGCTGTAATATTTTTCACAACACAATGAGATTTATAAGACTGGTGATTTGTACATTTAATATTATCCATACAAATTTTTTTTAAAGATAAATGTTGCTTACTATTATAAATGTACCTATAAAATAATTACATCATCTAAATATTTAGTAAAATGTATAAACCATACCATAGGATATGTACCTATTTAATAGCACACGACACAACCATTGAATTTTTCCAGATCGCTTACGTAAGTAACATCATATTCTATAATAATAACCCAAAAGGTTGTAGCTACATCCTCATAGGGAACTTCTCTCGAGCTCCAACAAAAATTGTTGTAATAAGACTTCAACCATTGATTCTTATATTTGTTTTTAGGCAAGAGCTGTGCACAACATTTAAATGATTATTAAAATCAGCTAATTTCTGAAGAAACTGCAGAAAATACAGTATCCCGATACTAATCTTGCTGAAGAAATTTTTCGTTGACAAGAAAATTAAATATTTGTCGAAAGGTTGGGCTTTGGTAAAACTCATAACAAAAAGGTTAATGATGACAAAGAATTTAAACGATACGTAATGTATAAATATTAAAATTAAGAAGTTATAAGGAATTCGTATAAAACTTGTTATAGTCTATTAACATCATCCACTGTGTGTTCAACTAAAATTTTTTTAACTATACGTGCAAAGTTTATATTTTACGCAAGGTTTATTAGGATGAATAAAAACTCAAAACATGTAATAAGGTGTATAATCTTTTTTTCTCATGTTTAACTAGTTTCGCACTAAAAACTTTTTCTTGTATTTGTAGAGTAAAACATTTATTGGTTAAAACACTCAACGCTTTCACTATTATAGCAAACTGACAGCTTTTTTCTATCGATGGGTTTCAGCAAACTATTACATAATATTTAATTACTCACAGGATACTCAGATACTTGATTAAGTGAAAATATTAAAAAGTAGCTATCTAGTTCGGCAATAGCTTTCGTATTAAATTAAGAGCTAGCTCTTCTTAGCTTTTAGACCACATGACTTTGCCCTTTGACCATTTCGTTGATTTTCTTTGTTGAAAGGAATCTTTTACACTTTAGTTAATTAAGTGCTGCTTACTTAGCCACCTTAAATATAACAAAATTACATGAGTTTTCTAAATAGTAAGAGAAATGTATCAGTAAAAAGACATATCACAAACTTTTACATCTAAACTTTGCTGTCTTACACAAATCTGCTTATTTCTGTAGAAATTTGCCAACTCTAAACCTATATTCTCAAGAGCTTGTTGCTAACCTGAGATACCTGCATTAAATAATAAAGAAGTCAATACTCTTAGTTGCACACTAAGGTTCTGACAAAGCTCTGCTGGTTGATTCTGCTTAAGATATAGGTTTTCTCCTGATACTGAAGAAATCTCGCGCTCTTCATTGGCTGCTTTTTTATTGGTTGCTGGTCTGCTATGATTTCCCACACATGCTCCAGCTTTTTGTTCTTTTATTACTTAAATTCTATAGTGGCCTTAAGACAGTGTATCCATAGTGTTTGATAAAAGGTATCGTTTACTATCCTGAAAACTAAAAGCAATTCTATTTTGCCTCTTACTGTGAAGCTTGTGATGACTTCATCTTATATTAATTGGCTACTGATTTATGCTTATAACTTTATTACGTGAGCATTCATTATAGTCCCTGAAATGAATGGTTGCTTTTACGACTATACTCTTAATACCCGTTGCTTCTTTAATCACATTTCTGTTTTTCACGAGAATACTACACATTTTACTTTTGGGCCAATTAAATTCTAGTATACTATTGCCATTGCACTCGTCTTTTATAAGCTCAACGATCGTCTTACTTTTTAACGGTATCGTAAACTTACTGTTTTTTGAATAATTTGACATGTTCTATTCGATAGTGATAGTGTAGTGTATGTGATTCTGCGTATATGTTAGCCTCGCTTTGAACGCTTTGCTATTTATGTATTACAGTGCCTGAAATAAAGCCAGTCTATCCTCACAGCTCCTTGAGTGTACACGTGATTTATTGAACCCTGCCTCACATATAATACAATGGCGACGAGGATATAGGAACAGAAACACGTGCACGCAAAAAGTAAAGCAGTAAAAAGCAGTAAATAATTAAAATTGCTCAACCAAAATTTAAGTATACGGTAATTTTTTTCCTAAAGTACACGGGTATACGCATAAAAAGCGCCACGTTATTTCAAACGTCGCAATTCGTTTTTCGGGCAAATGAATCAAGAAATTCAAGTAAAAGGAACGACGTGGATACAAGGTTTAAATAAAGACCAACTTGTCGCACTTTGCATAGAAAACGATATCGAATCGTCATCAGATAAAGTAGACGAGTTACGAGCGTTATTACGTGAATTCGTTAAAAATAAATTAGATCAAAATAATACTGCTACAATAAAAGGATTAAAAACGACTCAAGGTAATGAAAATATAACCGGAACAAATACAAGTGAGGTACAAAGTGAAAACGGTGCGATAAGTGTAATAAAGAAAATGGAAGTAACCGGCAACTTGGATTTTGATATCAAAAAAGACGATTGGGAGCAGTACGTAGATAGAATGGAACAATTTTCCATAGCAAACGACGTAACAGACACGAGTTAGCAATGGGCAATCCTTTCAAGTAAAGTTGGAGCAGAAATGTATGACGTCATTGCCAAAGTATGTAAGCCACATAAGCCAGGTGCTAAAAGTTACGACGAAATTATTGAACTGGTAAAGAAACATTTGAAGCCACAAGCATCTCATCTGGTAAACTGCTCCAATTTCCGCCAACGAGTGCAAAAAGATAACACAAGTATAAGTGATTACGTGGCTGAGTTAAAAGATTTAGCGAATGATTGCAAATTCGATAATTTGGAAGATCAAGTATTAGATCAATTAATAAGTGGTTTGAAGAATAAAAGTGTAGTAGCCGAGCTGCTAAAAATAGATGAACCAACACTTAAAGTAGCTCTAAAAAAATCATTAGCCACAGACGCAGCAAACAAAGGAGCCGAAAAATTGCAAGAAGCCAGCAGCAAGAAATTTAATGATGAATTCCACAAGTTAAATATGGCGTCGAAAAATTCCCGTGGCAACAGAGGCGGATTCGGGCGAGGCAGAGATAACAGACAGTATCGAGGCGGGAGTAGAGAACAAGGACAGCAATATCAACATCAGAGCGGACAAACATCATCAGGAGCAATGCAGAGGCCTGCGTCGAAACCAGCTACACATCCAGGGTATACGACGGATTGCTATTGTTGTGGTAAGCCAGGTCATTACGCGCGAGAATGTCATTATAGAAAGGCTACATGTAATATTTGTAAACAAACGGGTCATGAGCCGCGTATGCTTCGAGCAAAGACCACACAAATCAAACGATCGCAAAAGCACGCATGTAGGTTTTTTTAGTGCGAATGAGGAAAATAGCGATAGTGATAGCAGCGTCAACTCAGAGATACGTAAAATGTTTTCTTCCGAAAAACGCGACGCACATTACTTAAATACTACTCCAGCAGAGTCACGAACGTTCCATTATTCGAACCTTTATATTCCCGGTAAAACCCGTGTAAAGCCGCAATATTTACAAGTTAGGATTATGAATAAAGTCATTTCGATGAAAATTGATTCGGGAGCGGCAATGTCAATTATCACGTTAGATCTTAAAGATAAATAATTTGCTAATATTGAAATGTTTAAGGCTGATATCACTTTGATGAATCACGATGAGTCTCTGTACGAATCCGTAGGTATGCTAAAGCGCGTTAAAGAAGAAGCAAACGGCAATACAATTTGGACTGATGTTTACGTTACTAAATCAAAAGGCCCAGCTATCATAGGTCGCCCATGGTTAAAGGCTTTGGGAATGTGGCCGTTATACAAAAATTAAAAAATAAGTTCAATGGAAACAGAAGCAAGTATTACGGAAAAATTAAATTCAATTTTACGTAAACATGAAGCATTTTTCTCACCCGGGCACGGTTCATTTACGAAAGGTACGGCTAAACTTGAATTAAAAGAAGGTAGTAAGCCAATATATATGCTTCCGCGCACTATCCCATTAGCATTGAAAAAGGATGTAGAAAATGAAATAGATAGATTAGTTGGACAATTAGTTCCGGTGGATAATAGCGAGTGGGCTACGCCTATCGTACCCATTTTGAAACCAAATGGCAAATTACGAATGTGCGCGGACTTTAAAGTAACCGTAAATCCCCAACTAGTAACTATGCGATATCCAGCACCTAACTTTGATCATGCCATTGCTAAATTGCAAGGTAGGGCTAAATATACAAAAATTGATTGTGCAGACGCATATTTGCAGGTACCGGTCGACGAAGAATCGCAAAAATTGTTAACAATCAACACACATAAAGGCCTGTACCGTTATAAATATTTAGTTTTTGGCATTAGCTCAGCCCCAGGTATTTTTCAAAAATTTATGGAAGAAGCAATAAAAAATATACCTAAAGCAGCGATAGTAGCAGACTATATAGTAGTCACCGGCGATACGCCGAAAGAACACTTAGAAATTCTTGATAGAGTATTAACGATTTTAACAAAATGCGGTCTTAAAGCTCCCACGGAAAAATGTGATTTCTATAAAGATAAAGTAACGTATCTGGGAAACGAAATTAGTCAAAAAAGAATTGGAATCGATTCAAAGATATATCAAGCTATTGTCGAAATGAAGACACCTACATGTAAAAAAGACGTACAATTATTACTAGGAAAAATTAACTATTACAAGAGATTATTCAAAAAACGTGCAGAAATTTTAGCGCCATTATACGACTGCAATTATAACGATGAATTTGTTTGGAATGAAGAATGTAAAATAGCTTTTGAACAAGTTAAACTGGCATTGAAACAAAGTGTTGTAAATTACGACCCGAATTTACCACTCATATTAACCTGCAACGCGTCACCACAAGGTCTAGCAGCTTTCATCAGTCAACCATATAGCGATGGTGAGAAACCGATTGCATTTGCTTCGAGGCGTTTAACAAAAGCTCAAGAAAATTACTCACAAATTGATCGGGAGGCAGCAGCAATTATGTTTGGTGTAAATAGGTTTTATGATTACTTATACGCGAGAGAATTTACATTGAGAACGGATAACAAACCTTTTACGTGAATTACGAACACCTCTCCAATTATTGCGTCCAGATATAAGCGACATTGTCACTGCCAAGCAAGAAATGCAAATTAAAAATTATATTGGTAACAGAACTGATAAATTTAACGTTAGTGACATAATAATAGCGAGAGATTTTCGTAAATACCACGATAAAATGTCGGAAGCAGAAATTGTAAAAGTTTTATCACCACATAACTATTCAATAAAGTTCAAAGAGGGGGAAGGTGTGCATAAGCGTCATGGTAATCAGTTAAGGGCTTGGGGCGAACAAAAATTACAAGAAAATGTAAAAGTGGTGATCGACAAAAGCTCGACTGAAAACTGCGACTTGAGCAACGAGCAAAACCCTTTATATGTACGACGTTCAACGCGTCAGTCTAAAGCTGTTCAACGTTACTGCGCTAACGTTAGATCTGTAAATAATGTACATATCTAAATAAAGTTTGAAATCTTTCTAAGCATTAAAAATTAAATAAAAGGGGAAGGATGTAGTGTATGTGATCCTGCGTATATGTTAGCCTCGCTTTGAACGCTTTGCTATATATGTATTACAGCGCCTGAAATAAAGCCAGTCTATCCTCACAGCTCCTTGAGTGTACACGTCATTTATTGAACCCTGCCTCACATATAATACAAATAGATTTTATCATTTTTAGAATGTTATCTCGTTATCTCATATATCAGACTGTCTGTATCTGTGTATAAGAGCTTACAATTATTTTTCAGTTTTGTTAGCATATAATCGTAGTAAAAGTGACACACAAGTGTCTGAGGTGAGTCTAAGATACTGAGCCCAATGTATATTGGCTTTTTTATCATCACGTTTGTACATTGCAGCTAATAAGCTACAAAATTCTCATCAAAACATCACAACTTTAAACATTTAGCATTGCAATCTATGCTACTGCATCAAACCGCCCATTTCAATGATTCAAAAGTTTAACATTGATACTTTTTATTATGTTTTCCATTGTTCTACTGAGAAAAAAAATTATTGAATTATTTAAAAAGTATTCTATTAAACTCATTCTTAGCCTTTTTTCTCTCATTGCTATTAATATCAGTATATTCTGTAAGCCATGTACTTTGCTAGAACTTTAAAGTTCAATGAGTTTTTGTCAGTCGTAATACATGATTTATGGCTTGCTTTAAGGCTTTATATAAAGTATATATTTATGCTTGTTTTTTATAGTTGTTATGAATCTAGGCTGCTTCAAACCTAAAGCTGCAATGTGTTTAGAGCAAAATGGCAATCCTTCAGAAAAATTGTGGAGCTTCTCTGGAAACTCTAAATTAATTTTTAAAATACATCTAGAAGTTTTTGTGTGGCCATTATTATAAAAATCATAAAGCTATTGCTTAGCCATTTCTGCAGCATGTAACCGCATGCCTAGCGATGTCAAAACGTACGTACACTGCAATCGTGTACGCTTGGAGTCAAGCGTTGCAGCGTCCCCAGATAAGCGAGAATAAGACAACAAGATATTGGCATGCCATTAATCTTACGCAGACTTTACAGCTACGCCAACCATTCAATACGCTGCTTCTTATGCAAAGGCTCGTCCTATCGAACACCACTCTTCCACACGTCCTGCATGATGAGTCTCGTTTTGATCGTGGAAGAGCAAAAAAAACCTACGGGATTGATTATGGGTATTATTTTGCCAAAGCTGTTAGCTCATGGATCTTACTGAGCCTGTGAGCCACAAAAATTTGTTGTGAGTAAGGCCTTGTCTTCATCTATCTCAGGAATTTTCGCAAGTCTAGCCACAGGTATCGCTTTTTACATTTTAGCTCTAGCTTCCATTCGACTGATTTTAGCAAATGTGCTGCTAATAAACCAGTACGCAGGTTCTAGAGTAGCACAGAGAAATAATTTGTTGGAGTAATCCTAGATTTTTCCATCACAAAGAATACGTGCACTGGAAAATTAGGCTGGGATTACATGCAGCGGAAATAGCTAGCTGAGGTACACCCCTTTAAAAACAAAAATGTTCCAACTACTTGTTTTGTTTGCTACGTCATTGCATTTTTTTACTGTAGAAAGAAGCATCATGCGCATGAAGTGTAACAAAAGACCGCGTTGTAACAGCTTCAATAAGGGCATAGCTTTCGAGCAAAAAACGTTCAATGTTATGCAGTAGATTTAAATTATAAGCGCTTACTTATGATCCCTTACGATGAGAACATTACTATCATAGCTATGAACATCCTGAGACATCTCAAAGTTTTTATATTAACTAAACAAAAAACATTTATCATTATTCCGTTTGCTTCCTCCGCTACGCTTCACGTGCACGATACACCCTTTCTACAGCAGAAAACGCAATAACGTAACAAACTACGCGGGTAGAGGGGGATTTTTTGTGTTTGGTACTGTGACGTCCTGATGGCCTTGTCCACTGCATGTAACCGCTAGCTTAGCGATGTCAAAACGTACGTACACTGCAACCACGCAAGCTTTGAGACTAGCATTGCAGCATCCCTGGACGAGTGGGAATAGGACAGCGGGCTACCCGCATGCCATTTATTTCATGCAGACTTTCCAACAATGCAAACTATTTAGAACGCTTCTTGTTACGCGAAGACTCGTACCATACAACACTGCTTTTTCACTCGTCCTGCATGATGAGTTTCATTTCGAGCGTGAAAGGACAGAGGAATCCTACAGGATTGAAAGCGGACATCATAAATTTAAAAAATGCTCTGTGAGTATCATTAATTTGTTCTTTAGCTATACATTTCAGTCTCACGTGTAGCCAAAGGGTGACTATGTTTGTGTCCCAATATAATTCTAACGCTTGTTCTCGCTCTCTGTCACAGAGACGTAGACTACCGTTCACGCTCGGCTCGATGGCGATAACCTACTTCACAGTGTACGCATCATCGCTGACCCAATTTTACAGTGTAAAATAAGCCCTTAAAATAATTTCCACGACATCCCTAATCAAAATTTTTGTCTCCTGTACCATGGGTCAGCCTGCTAGCCAAGAAGTCGTTCACGTACGTATTCTGCACAATGCTTGTTACTGCGTCTGATTTGATTACTACAACCGCAACCAATATTTGACAAAAAACGCACTACATAGCAAAGACTTAGAACCAATAAGTCATTTCGTACAAAGACAGATGCTACTTTTGACTCGCGCCTTGCCCAGAAATTGTTACGCTCCACGATCTTTTTAACAGACGCAGACACGCATATACATGTCCTGTATATCTACCTCATAGACCACTGCAAACTAACGGAAGTAAATCAAGACTACTGGAAGAAACTGCAATAAGCTTAGACCCGAATCGAGTTAGTCATTTAGACAAATGCCTGATGACTTGGTCACCGAATCGAAGACTAACCTAAGTTTTTCCAGTGTATTGACATTGCTCATGCCAAAGTTTGGCAGTTAATATATTTTATTTCGTGGCACGTCGTTTATATTTACATCATAGTTGTTTCTCATGAGTCAGTTAGTCTCGATATAATATAAGATCATGTAATTTTTATCTCAATCTAATTTCTTTTCAAGCCATATATCGTTTTAATGCCGTCAGTTGGACAGATACCTTTAGGAGTTTGTGGCTCTTCCACATAAGACCAGTTTCTTTAACTGTACCGCAGTACTTACTGGTGTCTTTTAAAATTCATAAAGCACTTAAATGTTGCAAATCAGGCTCAATTAGTTTGCGAACCCCAGGCTTTTAATTTAATAATAATCACGCATGATTTGGTCTAGCGCTCTAGTTTCACGGCAACGGCAGTTACCTTCTACGATAACTAGCTCTTATGTACGACGCGTACGTATAGTATATGCCCCCCTTGTGTCGATGCTACGCATGACTCCATGTACGGTAAAGATAAACTTAGTTAGTGTTACAGCTATATCAGTACCTTCGACTCTTCCCGATTTTTCTCGAAATAAGCAACCTTTAATTGTTTTGCCTGATTCGAATCTTGGCCCTCATTATTATACAATTGAACTTAAACGTTGTAATATTTCTATCTGCTCTATCTGTGAAACGCTAAGAACTGCATGCTGGTTTATTAGCAGCACTTTTGCTAAAATAAGTCAACATAACACATTGCAGCTTCAGATTTAAAACAACCTAGACTTATGACAACACTAAGGAACAAGCAAAAATATATACTTTATTATGAAGCCCTAAAGCAAGCCATAAATCATGGATTGCAACGGACAAAGATTCATCGAGCCTTAAAATTCTGGCAAAGTACATGGCTTACAGAATGTAATCATCTTAGTAGCTATAAGAAAAAAAGAGGCTAAGCATAAGTTTGATAAGATGTTTTTAAAATTATTTAATCATGTTATTCTCAGAACAACGACGGACAACCAGAGAAGGAGTATCGATACCAAGCTTTTTAATTATTGGAATGGGTGCTATGGTGCAGCAGCATACATTGCAAAACCTAATTTTTACAGCTGTGATATTTTTGATGAGAACTTTGTAGCCATATAGCTGCAATGCACAGACGTGCTGATAAAAAACCCAATATTCATTGGGCTTAGTATCTTAGACTTATTGTAGATACTTCTGTATCACTTTTACTACGATTATATGCTTACAAAACTTAGAAATTATTGTAAGCTCTTATACACGGATACAGAAAGTCTGATATATAAGATAAAAAAACCCTAACATTTAGAAAGTGATGGATTCTAATATTTTTTAATTTGACACATCAGATTATTCAAAAATAGTTAGGTCATGATTCCATTACAAAATAAGAAATTCGTTGAGCTTATAAAAGACGAGTGCGATAGCGATTTTATATTGGAACTTGATGGGCTTGAACGTAAGATGTACAGTATTCTTATTAAAAATTAAAATATGATTAAAAAAGTGGTGGATATTTAGAGTAACGTCGTTAAAGCAACTATTAATTTCAGCAAATGCACTGTATGCTTGCGGGACCAAATTATTAGAATCAATCGCGAGAAAACTAGTATAAGAATACATCATCGTAAGCTTTACACTGAGAGGCTTAATAGAATTTCTCTTAGCTTACAAAATTGTAAGCGATACTTTTTATCAAACACTACAGATAAACTGTCTTGGAGACATGAGAGAGTTTAAGTAATAGAAGAATAAAAAGCTGGAGTATGTGTGGAAAATCATTGCTGACTGCGAACCAATGAAAAAGCAGCCAATGTAGAGGAAGAGATTTCTCCAGTAGTAGAAGAAAACCTGTATTTTGAGCAGCATTAACCAGCAGAGCTTAGTCAGAACTGTAGTGAGCAGCTAAAAGTATTAAATTCTTTATCTTTCAATATAGTTAGCTCAGGTCAGCAACAAACTCTCAAAAAAACAGGTTTAAAGTTGAATAATTTCTTCAGAAATTAGCAGATTTATACGAGACAGCAAAGCTCAGATATAACGGTTTGTAATGTGTTCCCTTAT